TTAATAGTCAACAAAAAGCATGGAGCAATGCACAAACTAGCAAAATTCATTTGCTTGAAGCTCAAGAAAGTAAATGACAGACTCTTGAATACCGTCAAGAATTCTTATGAATTTTCTCAAAGGATCCAGAACATTGGGTAGTCGGGTCGGAGCTGTTGGTGAGTTTCGATGTACAAACATATCAGGTGAGAAGGCGATAAGCGCCTTAGTGAAGATATTGCAGCGATAAGAGGACATCCTGGAGGCAGAACGGATACGGAAGGAGTCGTTAACACGACTAATCAACCTGATAGTTATGACATATTTTACATTTAACGGCAGCATCTATGAGTAAATATTTGGACTATTGATGGAATCACCATTCTCACCTCTTCCACTTCACTTGTCTCTTTGACAAGTTGTTGTATGGTGCTAAGAATGGCGATACTCACTGACGATGCCGGCGAAAGGTTTGGGAATGTACCATGTCCACGGTTCAACTTTGTAAATGATTATGCGGACAATGGACTCCGGACTAGGTGCGTTCCTCTAAGTCTTCCTACCAATATGACCATATTGCGAAAACAAGGTCAAACAACCTCTATAAGGAGGTAGGTTTGAAGCCTGCCACCCTTCTTGACTTCGTGTTTTGGTAAATTATCGAAAAGCATGATATGCTGCTGACGATTTCCGTCACATAACGGACGAAAGCTAGGCAAGTATTCATCGTGATCGCAGGGCGGTGCGCCCAGGACATATTCGCACAAATCTACAACTACAGCCCCAAGGCAAGCCCCCCACAGCCTCCGGTTGAGACAAATTACAAATCCCTCCCACTCGCCTCTTCAAACTAAATGAAAGGTGCCCCAACATGAATCTATTAAGAGATTCTTCAAAACCCAGTTTTTCTACATTACACAATTTCATTCATTAATACCATTAATACCAGACTCAGGTAACTCTTGTGCCAATTTCTTAATTCGAATGACTTATCTAGACTCCAAATAATAAGGGACAAGTTGTATAAAAGGGTTTTTCTGTAGGTGGGCAACAAACCGTACAAATAATTAAGGAATGAGTAATATAATCAGCTTAAGACAGACAAAATCTGAAAAAACCTTAGGGAAGAATACATCGTGCTGGAAAGTCATAAGTCTGTTCAGAGCAAGAGGTATGTTAAATCAACAAATTCCTAAGGTTTGTCTAAAACTGATATGGAAGCTGACCCTTTTAGGATTATCGTAAATAATGTAGGTGGCGTGGTGCACAAAGAATCAGTCAAAGAAAAATATCTGAAGCATGGAAGTGGATAAAGAAATCGATATAAAAATGTTATTTGTTTTTAATGAATTAAGGCCCGTGTACATTAATATTCTTATAAACGGAGCGATATAAGCCTTGGTCAACGTATATCGATATACTATGTGAATGAGACCTGCAAATCCACTAAGAGTTGGTGCGGATTAAGAGCTCCGTGTAAAGGTTTATGGGTCCGAAAATTTACATTGGTCGAACAAATCGCCAATACGAGGTGTGATAAAATAGCTAGACGTACCGTCTTGTATGGTACGGGGACTTCATATCAGAGCAGAGCTAAATCTGCAAAAATAAACAAACACGCGTACTCGTAATGGGTAGGTTTTAGAAATAATCCATAGATCTTGAATAAGAACCGTGGTGAATAGGTTAAGGTGATGAAGGATTAATAATGGATTCTCCCACAATGATATAGACAGATATCATGTGCTATCGAATTTCACATAACCTTGTCTCCCGCAATATATATTTACACCCAGGATGTACTGTAGAGGAAACTAAGTCTGGCTATCGAATAGGCTTGATTAGTCTGAAGCTAATTAAGGTTGTCACGGCTAGAACACCCATTAACAGTGCAGTATTGTTAAGGAAAGGAGTGATACCAAAACGGTTAAACAGAAAATTGATCAAGGGGATTGCCTTCAATTGTCACTTTGATAAATTGTAACTCTGTGCTTACGATGGCTCTCTCGTTGAAGACGTCGGCGAAACATTTGGGAATGTACCAGGTCAATGGTTCAATGTTGGAAATCACGAATATTATGACAGAGGATACGGAACTATGTGCGTTCCGCAAGGTCTCCCTGACGCTGCGACAAAGTTGCGAAAACAATATCGAACCAACACTAAGGAGACGGATGTTTCTAAAATTCACAAAAATGTAGAGGGAAGGAAGAAGCATTCAATAACATCACGAGATGCCTCACTAAAATGGCGAAATTGAGTGAGCAGGAGTTCAGCTGACTACCATTCTTAGCATAGTCATTGAATTGTATTAGAGGATGATTTCGAGAACTGGAAACAACCGAACTTCAATAAAATCTCACTTAGGTTTCCGGGGAGGCCGATTTACGAATAAGTTCAACCAACTTTCACCTTAGAAATGAAAGTTCTAATGACTATTAGGCTATTTTGATAATAGGTACCAACGAATTAAAGACATTCGAATTTGCAAATAAATTTTGCCTCAATGCATTTGGTAAGGCCTTTCAACTAAAAAACGCTGCAGCTCTGAACTTGAAACGAACGACGGTATTCAAAATACTTGTTACCAGGGCTGCATATTCGCAAAGCAAACATTCCAGCCAAGACCTCTTGGCAGATCATATATTCCGTTTGTATGTTTTTCCAGACACTCACGAGTCATTAATAAGACTCGAAGAGCTATGGATATGATATTATCAATCCTTTAATCACTGCGGACTACAACAGGCACTGTACGGTACAAGCAACAACTTTAACTGTTTTTATGAGTAGCTTAGAAGTAAGGCGTCTGGCTGAGGCAAGATAAGCAAGTATTGAGGCCTCGTACACCTTTGGTTAAATTTTATCTAAAATAAAGTATGGTCCCTGTTTTGCAAAGCTGCAGCCAGACAATTTTGATTAAATATTTGAATCAATGACTCATTTACTTAGGAGTATAGGTTTGATCAAACTACTAAGTGTGGTTAGAATCGTTTTTCTTTCCATCCTATATCATAGAGAGATGGTACTTTCGAATCCCTGTTTTGACGAGGCTCAAAGACCCGTGCAGAGCTTTACAGGACCACAACGCTGATGGAGCTCGTTGACAAAAAAATGTAGCACTTCATTAAATGCGCTGCGAGCAAGAAGGCTGAAATTTCTACAAGGATGAAGATAGCCGATGGAGAACAAAAGTGGATTTGGAACAGGTGATATTTGAAAATATTATAAGTGAATTCTGTATCTTAGTGACAATAACTGGAGAATAAGATTGATGGCATGACCGGTTGAAAAGAAAAGACCTGGTATCACTAAGAGGAAAAATTTACTAGCATCGGAACTGGCTATTCAGAGCCTTTTCGATGCGGACCTGTCAGCGCTTGATTGTGGGTATGGGAGAAAAAGTTAATGCCAAACGCTTTGCAGACATTGGAGAATGAGCGTTGAATGTTGACACCCTTGAGAGGATACCATTCAGTGCCGTCTGAAGGCTGGAGTCTTATGTACAGACTCAATAGCCACTACAGATTAAATTCAATTATGCTTTGGATAAAAAGTGCAACATGATTGGCGTAGTTAGAGGGACAGAAATATGCGGCGAGTGGAGCGAGCTCAAAGTTAAATCTTCAATTTGAGCCATCTTTAGGGCCTAGGAGAAAATTTTTCTGACAGTCGTGTGAGCAGTAGTCGAGCAAGTTGATCATATGCCTGTAAAGAAGCAGGTTGGTGGACAGCAGTTCCGGGATGAGCAATGCTGTTGGCAGCCAACCCCAGGACTAAAGGTCGACCTAACTCGCCGCTGGTGCAGATTCGTTGATCGATTGGTAAGCGAGCCAGCAGCTGAGTCCCAGTAGCCTCGGCTAAGCCGAGACCACCAGATGTTTTGTCTGTATGAATAAATTAAGACGAAGGATACGATTATTTAAAGTGAAGAGGACGATCTTAATCATGTCTGAAGCCAAGTATTGGGAACATTTTATGCCTGAAGGGCATTTGATAGCTAGAAAAGTTAACTAATTCATAAATTATTAATGTGAACCCGACAAGAAGTTTGGAAGCGAAGTTGATAAAGGAATACTAAGTGAGGACGCCTGGATCCATAAGTGCAAATAACCTGAAGGTTATGTTTAATCCCATTCATAAGAAACCCAATCATGAAAATATAATGAATATTACACTGGTAGCACAAAATACAAGATATCTGACGTTAAAAATTCAAAGTAGTGAGTCAACAAGGCAAACCTTTGATTGGCGTCATAGGATCGCAGTCGTCATGAAACAACAACGAACGATGACCACATGAAGGGCAGGTGAAGTCGGACATATTCTCAACGATTCCAAGGATGGGAATCTGGAAAGAATCAGTAGGGAATATAAATTCCAAATCTCAAACGATTACTAATTTGATTATATTTAAGAGCAGGTATTGAATTCTCACAATAGGTTTCGAATAAAGATGATCATATTCATATTTTTGGTTCCATTATTAGTGTTATTTAAAAGAATGTCTGAATCTTCTATAGCTATAATATGAGTGGAGAATATCGAAGTAATAAATAAATCAGCATGGCGAAAATGCTTTATGTAGCATATTTCATTTTTTAAGCTAAAACTACGTACCAACAAAATTTTGTAAAATTGTTGGAGGTAATTTTATGTTTAGTTAGATAATGAAAAGAAAAAGCAATTATTAAAATTAATACCTATAAAGCATTAAATGTTTTCGAGTAAACTGGTGTTTTTGACAATTACTTTATTCCTAGCATCTACGAGGATCAGAGGAAGTTATGTACTATAGAATTCAATATGAAAGCCTGATTTTATTACTTACAAGGAGGATCCAGATAAATTCAATCAGAAGGGATTGGACGTATGCGCTTAAAGGCTCCTGAGTCAATATCGCTGTTAAGGCGAAAGGTCTGATCAACAACCCTTCGGTTGGCACAAATTGTTTAATATAAGCGCTAAAACCACGAATAGTTGATGAAATTCACAAGACGCAATTTGCTGAAGATAAAACAATACGAGAACATGCTAGCTGTTGAAATAAAAAAAGGACAGCAGAAATTCTGTTGAAGCGATAACGACGAAGGTATTGCGAAAATGGCAACCAGCAAAATTACTTCGAAAACAGATACGAGTAATAGATGAGAATGAAAGCAAATAGCATGTCGAATTCATATTTGGGGACACTAACTTATGATGTTTTGTAAGAATGACTTAATATGAAGAGGCGAAATAATTTAGCAACTATCAGCTAACTGAACACACTGAAGATATGAAGACCAAGATGTTGTGTCCTCTGGTATGGTCGCAGTCCCCTTTCGATTTATATAAGTGAGTTGACCTCGTTGTCACAACTTAGTCTTGTTGTCAGGATGACTTAGTAGAACGCACTTAGTCCGAAGTCGTTTGCCATAGTAGTTGTCATGATTCCCAGCATCAGACAGTAGACTTAGTAGATTCTCAAAACGTTTAGCCGGCATCATCAGTAAGTTTTGCCATTCTCCGCACTAAGCTACGAACTCGTCAGAGACAAGTGAAGTCAATCCCTCGACAAACGTTATGCCGAAAAAAGTTACACTATCACTCCTCTGTCTGGACTGGCCTATCCATCTACTCTTTACCCTATCCCAATGCCGCTCTATCACAACTTCTGACTTGTTTACATTCCACTTTTTAAAATGTGTGCCTTTTTTGGCAAATTTAGTGTGGCCTCATCACACCTACTATTCACCCCGACCCACTCGATCAGAGACGCCTAGGTGCTCTGCTAGATGAGGCGGCAGTGTATGTTCTTCAAGGTTCTTGAGAAATAGCGCCTGGAGTAAAACGCACACTGGGACTGGAACCAAGTGAAGCCGGTCAACCAGAAAGATAAGAAACGGATCTACAGGACCATGAGGGAGATGCGAATAGGAGGTCCGAGTCGGATAAGCCGATCGAAGGAAAGTGGGTCGAGGTGGATAGTAGGTGTGATGAGGCCACAAAACGGCACACATTTTGACGAGTGGAATGTAAACAAGTCAGAAGTTGTGATAGGGCGGCAGTGGGATAAGAGGCTGAAGAGTATATAGATAAGCAAGGACAGAAATAGGAGTCATAATGTAACCATTTTCGGCAGAACATTTGTCGAGGGATTGACTTTGCTTGTCTCCTTGATGAGTTCGTAGCTTGGTGCGGAGAATGGCAAAACACACTGATGATGCCAGCAAAGCGTGAGAATGTACAAAGTCCACGGTCTGATGCTGGGAATCACAACTATTATGGCAGACGATTTCGGACTAGGTACGATCTACTGTCGCCCTGACAACAAGACCAAGTTGCGACGAGGTCAACCCACTTGTAAACACACTGAGTTGTTTAGCTCGCAATAATATCGCAATTTTGACAACACAAAAAGTAATAGGACCAAACATTACTTTTCTGGAGATTGTATTGAATTCCATGAATCTGAGCAAAAGTCTAACACTAATGAGAAAATTAATCACTAAAATTTCAGCAAACCACAAACCTACGTTAACTTTTTTCAACATTTCCAACCCTCTTCGCGCATTTGACACTGCAAGACCCTGGGGGGTGGTGATAATGATGGCTCCGTCTACTGGAATATTTTGGCTAATTGATAACTGTACGTCTCCTGTTCCTGGAGGCATGTCGACCACAAGTAGATCCAAAGGTCCCCATGCGACCTATAAAATAGATAAAATGAGAAAAACTAACTCCCTCAGCAAAGTGTGATCCATTTATAAAGTGATTTCGACAACTGAAAAATATGGATTATTCGCTTGTAAATATAAAAAGCCTAATAAGAATACTAACAATGTAATTATCAGGCGAAAATATGCCCATATTGTTGTCATTTGTATCAATATGGATAGGAGCCTTTGTTTAGACAAGTCAAATAATACATATTTAGGCAATCTTTGCAGGAGGCTGGAGATACCTACTAGTTAAGGTGCCTCCATTCAATTAA